CCAATGTGCAGCATCCACCTGGATGATGCGATGGCAGCCATAGTGCGCCAGAACGCTCATCACACATCAGCTATCAGTGGGGAGGAGTGCAGAGTAATGAAGCCAATTCATAGATGGGAATTATTAGGAGGCCATGATTGGTAAGGGACAATGGGAAATTTGGCCAGGATGCTGGGGTTACACCCCTACTCTTTGCGAGAAACACCCTGGGATTTTTAATGACCACAGAGAGTCAGGACCTTGGTTTTACGTCTCATCTAAAGGACAGCTCCTGTTTACAGTATAGTGTCCCTGTCACTATACTGGGACATTAGGACCCACATGGATCACAGGGTAAGCGCCCCCTGCTGGCCCCACTAAATGAAAAATGAACGCCAACTTCAATTATCTGAGAAAAATAATGTTTTTACCTTCAGCTAAAAAAAAACAAATGAGACATTCATAAATGTAAATAGAGACTAAACCGAAGTGATGTAAATAATAACGTAGAATATGAAACCCACTTTAAAAAACTTACAAGAGCTACAGTATGTAGACCCAAGTGATTTTTTTGTCAGTCTATGAATTTTGCTATGGGCAATATCACAATTTCAAAATGTGTAATAAGTAGGTTTATATCTGATGAAAAAACTCTAGTTCATATTGAAGTGCAGTTGATATGAGGAACTTCTCTGACTACATAATCTCATAGCTGCCTCAGTATATCCTATGAGCATGTTGAATTATTGTGCTGGAGTCATGTACTGTGTTTGAGATAATGCTTTTAGTTTTGTGATTCATCCAGGACTGGTAAACTTCAGGCCTTAGGAACAAAAGATAATATGGATTGTTTGTGTTCACATTTGTGTACATTAAATTTGTCATCAGCTGTTAAACGTTTAAAGAATTGTAATCTTTCAGCAATTCAGGATTAAAGAATGGGGAATATAAACATAAATTGTCTAGAACAACGCTACTATTTTTGAGTAAATTTAAATATAAAATCCCATTAAATTCAAATTTGAATCTTTATACATTTTATATGTGTGCTGTGTACAGTATGTTTTAGTGACTCAAAATATTTTATATCTTTATGCACTGTGCATCTTTTCATTTAGGACCATACTCCTAACAGTCATTAAAATTGAAAGGAGGGGTTATTCATTTGTACTCCTGAAGACAAAGGAACACATTAGGCAAAAACTGTCATGAGTGGTGATGTCTTTCTATTCAGTATATGGTAATCACTATATAGTACATTGCATATAAAGTAATTATTTAATTAATTAAAAAAAAACAAGTGAAATGTTTGCAGCATTTTACTGTCCAATTATCTGAAACTTCATGAGAGGACTGCTGCAACAGACGTTGTGACACTCATACTGGAACAGTACAGTTTTTTTTCAGTTTAAAGTCACATGTTTTCTGTTACCATGCTCAGCTGTTGTAGTAATTGAAATCATTTTTAAAAAGTTTGTATAGAAAGCAAAGTCTGATCAAAGAATAGATGTGCCATAAGAAACTATGGGGTGCACCAAAGAAGTCATTTCTGTCATCTTTTTATTTTGCTAATGATTATCAAACATATTTTGAAAAACCATGTGGAGTTTTTTTTTTAATTTGATTTAAAACAGACAGATGATCCACTTTCAGTGTTAAAAAGTACTAAGTTTCCTTATGTATTCACTTTACAGACTTTTTAGTGACACCTGAGAATTATGAAAACCAAATACCAGTGATATACAGTATAACACAGCCTGGAATGCAGAAGAATCCTTCGCTGAATTAGTAATTGTAGAATTGTGGTCTATTTAAAAAAAATCAATAGCCTTTACAAAACCAATTTACAGTTCAAAATATCAATAGGTGATAAGCTGTTTACATATTGTCGCTTTAAAGCTTACTTAATAATCAATTCTTGCTTTTATTTAAGCAATACAACCTGAGGACTCACATATTTTCACATATTCACATGCTATAACTTCACTTAATACATCAATGCAGCATTTTATTTAAGCAATGCAACATGATCACTCTGGAGTAATCAGAGAGAGGAAGAAAATAAAAATCAACATGCCTTGGCTTTCAATACAACAGCAGATGTTTACCAAACAGAGCTTTCCGTATTGGTAATAAACAGTGTGCAGTGTGGTTGTCCATAAAAAATCAATTAATATAAAGATTGATACAGTATAGTGGTACTGTTAATTTGTTCTCCCACCTTGCCATGTAGTGGTAAAATTCCACACTGAAAGGTCTCCAAAAAAATGCATAACTGAATGAAAATCTAAAGTAACTTGTGCTCTAGATCAATTTGAATTTTTATCAATCAGTGTCAAAGATGACTCTAATGGAACACAAAGAACTTACACAGCACCTTGTCAGACCTTGCAGACCTGTGTGATTCTGTTCTCTGTTAACTCCCCAGTGCACAGTGTATTCTGCTCATAAAGATGACCTTTCCAATCTGTGCAGTAAGATTGTGCTTTCTGTTCACCAGCTCGTTAAGCATGTACTATATTTGTGATTGGTGAAGAATGGATAATGAAAACAATACCTTACTGTGTGTTTAACTTAAACTTGTAGTCAGTCCTTGTCTGAGTTGTACCACAGCGCAAGAACTGAAATCTTCAGACATCACTCTCATGTTATGTGTAGTATTTTGACTTCTCATGTTATTCACTTCAGTATTCACAAAGGAAAATGCGTTTTCTGGGCTGTAAGTAATTCAGATTCATTACACTGCTAAAGATGATCCCATGTACAGTACTTTTCAAATATAATATAAACTCTACTAGAAAGAAAACCTTGAATCCATAACTTTCTCCTGATTTGAACAGACTATTTGCTGCATTACAAAATAAATCCATGTGGTAAAATGTACTGATTACAGTATGTTTGCATGTGTTTGCAAAATGTGCCTCACCTTTAAAAAACAGTAATACTGCTTTTGTCCGAATATTAATAGGATAATATTGTTGGTGTTGTTAAAATGATATCTGTGGATACTCCTCCTTCATCTTCTTGCTTTACATTCCTGAGAGTATTAACATTCAAGGTAACTGTTTGGGATGATACGAGAGTTGGCCCCTTGTGAAATGTCTTGACGTAAAGCAAATGAGATGCTGCCAAAAAAATTATAGAACAAATCCTGAGAGTATATTCTCAGATATCATAAATAACCTACAATGTTTACTTGCTGTGACTGAGCACCCCAGACGCACTTGTACTTGTGAAAATTCAGGGAAGTACTTGTCATTTTGGTGAGATTTCTTTTTCTAATTTCTCAAGAAACTGTGACATGGTAGCATGTGCTGTGATGCTCAAAATTAAAGGAAATAAAACTCATAACAAACAGTGACTTTTATTTTTAAGGGGATGAATGAATTTCATGCTTCAAGTGTTTTTTTTGTGTGTAAAAGAACTCTTGCTTTCTAGCTGTGTGTGCAGGAAGCAACAGAGAGTCATGCCAGCTGTCAACACCTCCAGCCTCCATCCAGCAGTGTTCATTTTGATGGGATTTCCTGGGATCGAGCACCTGCAGCACTGGCTGTCTGTCCCTTTCACTGTCCTCTACATCACTGCTCTCGCAGCTAACAGCATCCTAATACTAGTGATCAGACTAGAGAAGAGTCTGCACTCTCCCATGTACCTTTTCCTTTGCATGCTGGCAATGGTGGACATTGGTTTATGCACAAGTACTTTACCAAAAGTGCTGGAAGTGCTTTGGCTCGACAACAAGGACATTTCATTTGAAGGCTGTTTTATTCAGATGTTCTTCATTTATATTTTTGCAGCACTGGAATCCTCAGTTCTAGTGATGATGGCTTATGACCGATACATTGCCATTTACAACCCTTTACGCTACACAGCAATACTGTCACAGACTCGGATAGCAAAAATGTTAGTTGCATTTTTAATCAGAGACATAATTTTACCTGGACTGATACCTACATTAGCATCCAGATTGCCTTATTGTTCTTCTAATATTATCCCCCATTGCTACTGTGATCACATGGCTGTTGTGAAACTGGCCTGTGCTAATATAATAATGAACAGTTATTATGGACTGTCAGTGGCATTTTCTATAGCAGGCTTTGATTTTGTACTGATTATCTTTTCTTACATAATGATATTCAGAGCAGTGCTAAAACTTGGATCAAAAGGAGCTCGTTTGAAAGCTCTAAATACCTGTGGTTCTCACTTGGTTGTTATCATGTACTTCTACATTACATCAATATTCAATTATGTGGTTTACAGGTTTGGAAACGAAATTCCTGTTCATGTTCACAATATTTTTTCAGTTTTGTGTCTTCTTATTCCTCCAGTGTTAAACCCTATTGTCTATGCAGTTCGGACAAGAGAAATTCGTCAAGCATTCCAGAAGCACTTCTTAAAGAGGACAGTTATTTTACAACAATTAAGCCTAAAATGAATTTTCACTAATTATTTTAGCAATTATTCCAATGTCGTCTTGCTTGCGTCTGAATTTCACTCCTCTGTGTAAAGAAAACGGTAAGGAATGTTAACAAAACATATATGCATAAACTGTACATATATGCTGAAAACAAAAGTAAATTGTAAAATAAATTGGAATCAGACTTTCTTAACATCAAAATGTGACTCTAAATGGAGATGAGGAGAAATAACCTTTGGTTAATATGAGAACCCAACTTAACATTTAATGGGAAAATAGTGCAGAAGATTAATTGATTTAATATTCTTTTTCTAATTTCTCTAACATCAGCTTGTAAAATCCGGTTTAAATTCTGACTATATTATGAATTCTTAAAACACACATCACTATAGTATATTATAATGCAAGAAATGAAGTTTGGATATAATACCAGTTTTAATTATTTTAAGAATGAATATGGCAATAAAGAAAAGGAGAGGTCAAGCTACAGTGTGCAAAAGAAAGTAAATACAGTTGTAAACAAATATTAACTCAAGCAGCTGATTTTAAACCTTGTGTACAACAGAAACATTCATACATGTTCACAATTTTATATGAACGCACTGCATTTCAGGTGTCACCATTTAATGTGGTTAATCTGTGTTTACAGTCAATATTTGTACTCTCCTGTGGTTTAAAATTTCCAGTCTCACAGGCAATGATGTTATGAAGCATTTAAGCAGGGTGATGCGAGTACCTGCTGGCTTCAAACCAGGCTGTGAA